CTGATAAGGGCTTAATATCCAAAATATATAAGAAACTCAAACAACTCAATAATAAGAAAGAAAATAACCAGATTTTAATAATGGGAATGGATTTCTTTGACTATTCGGGGTCTTTTGTTGTTCCATATGAACATTAGGATTGTTTTTTCCATTTCTGTGAAGACTGTCATTGGTATTTTCATGGGGATTGCATTGAATCTGATCACTTTGGGTAGTATGGACATTTTCACAATGTAAATTCATCTAATCCAAGAGCATGGTACGTCTTTCCTCTTTAATTTCTTTCAGTAGATTTTTGTAGTTATCATTGTAGAGATTTTTCACCTCCTTGGTCAACCTTATTTCTAGGTATTTCATTTGGGAGGGGGACAATTGTAAATGGGCTAGCTTTCTTGATTTCTTTTTCTGCTAGTTTGTTATTGGAGTATAAAAACACTACTGATTTTGGGGTGTTGATTTTCTATCCTGTACCATTACTGAACTTGTTCATCTGCTCTAAGTGTTTTTTCAGTAGAGTCTTCAGGTTTTTCTAAATCTAGGATCGTGTCATCTGCAAACAGGGACAATTTGACTTCATCTTTTCCAGTTTGGATGTTTTTATTTCTTTCTCTTGCCTGACTGCTCTGGCTAGTACTTTCAATACAACATTAATTAGGAATGGCAAGAGTGGGCATCCTCGTCTTATTCCCGTTCTTAAGGGAAAAGCTTTCAACTTTTCACCATTCAATATAATATTGGCAGTAGGTTTGTTGTATATGTCTTTGATCGTGTTGAGATAATTTCTTTTCTTTTTTTTTTTTTCCTTTTTGTGTTTTTTCGTGACCAGTAACGGGATCGCAACCCTCGGTGTCGTGCCCGCACCACACTCAACCAGTGAGCGGACCAGTCTCTATATGGGATCCAAACCCTCAGCGGGAGCGCCGCTGTGCTCCCAAGCGCCACACTCTACCAAGTGCACCACTGGGCCGGCCCAAGATAATTTCTTTCTATACCTAATTTGCTAAGAATCCTTATTATAAAGGGATGTTGAATTTTGTCAAATGCTTTTTCAGCAGGTATTGAGATAATCATATGGTTTTTGTCTTTGATATTGTTGATGTGGTATATCACATTACTGACTTGCATATGTTGAACCATCCTTACATGAACTTGATTGTGACATATAATTTTCTTTGATGTGTTGCTGTATTCTATTCGTTCATATTTTATTGAAGATGTTTGCATCTATTTTCATCAAAGATGTTGGCCTGTACTTTTCTTTTTTAGTTGTATCTTTCTCTGGTTTTGGTGTATGGGTGATGTATGCCTCATAGAATGGGTTTGAGAGAATGGCCTTTGTTTAAACTTTTTGGAATAGTTTGAAGAGAGCTGGTGTTAATTCTTCTTCAAAGTTTTGGGAGAATTTGGCAGGAAATCCATCTGGTCCTGGGCTTTTCATTGTTGGGAGACTGCTGATTACAGCTTAATCTCTTTGCTTGTTATAGGTCTGTTCATGTTTTCTATGTCTCTTGGTTCCAATCTTGGTAGTTTGTATGTATCCAGAGATTTGCCCATGTCTTCTAGGTTTTCATATATGTTGGCATATAGTTGTTTATCATAGTCTAACGATTCTTTGTATTTCTGTGGCATCAGTTGTAACATCTTTTTCATTTCTAATTTTTGTTATCTGTGTCTTCTCTCTTCTCTTTTTAGTTAGCCTAACTAATGGGTTGTCAATTTTGTCTATCTTCTCAAAAAAACAACTTTTTGTTTCATCAATCTTTTGTATCATTTTTCAGGTTTCTAGTTCATTTAGTTCTGCTCTGATCTTAATTATTTGTTTCCATTTACTTACTTCGGGGTTGGATTGTTCTTGTTTTTCTACTTCTTTGGTGTGTAGTGTTTACAGCGTGGTACTGGCATAAAAAAAGGCACACAGAAAAATGGAACAGAATAGAGAATCCAGAAGTCAGCCCATATACCTGCAGCCAAATGATCTTCAACAAAGGCATCAATAACATACACTGAAGAAAAGACTGCCTCTTCGATAAATGGTGTTGGGAAAATCGGACATTGTATGTAGAAGAATGAAACTAGACCCTTACCTCTCACCATATACCAAAATCAATTCAAAATGGAATAAAGAATTAAATATGCATCCTGAAACTATAAAACTCCTAAAAGAAAACACAGGGGAAACACTTCAGGGAGTAGGACTGGGCAAAACCTTTATGAATACAACCCCAAAAGCACAGGCAACAAAAGAAGACATAAACAAATGGGACTGCATAAACTTGAAAAGCTTCTGCACAGCAAAAGAAGCAATTAACAGAGCAAAAAGACAACTAACAGAGTGGGAGAAAATATTTGCAAAATATGCATCCAACAAAGGATTAATATCCAGAATATACAAGGAACACAAACTACTTAACAGTAAAAAAAAAAAAAAAACCCAATTAAAAAATGGGCAAAAGGAGCTTCATTTCTCATATGAAGATATGCAAATGGCCAACAGACACATGGAAAATGCTCAACAACACTAATCATCAGGGAAATGCAAATCAAAACCACACTGAGATATCATCTCACCCCAGTTAGACTGGCTATGATTAAA